CCAAACTGCCTCTTTATATCCCTTTTTTATTCACTGCCATCATATTTCCCTGTCATGTATCAAAGTTATTAAGAGCAATTTTATTTTGGCAACTGCTTGGGGATTTTAGAAACTACACTAAAGAGTTCATTTCTGAACATTATGGCCAAAATACTTAATTTTGGTTTAGAGCACCAATAGAAATTGTGAGTTTAATTCTATTTGCACTGCTCATTATTTCCCTCTTCCATAATTTTGTAGGATTTTAATTTTTGACTTGTTTAACACATTTAATTTCAGCTTGGTTTTTTCTGTTAAGCATTTTTCTGTTACATTTTAGCACCAGGCTGCTCCCTGGGCTTCTAACTTGAAGGCAACATGCAAAAGCACATAAAAGTCTGTATTTTTATGCTATGTTCAAATTTTAAATAGTTCAATATTTCAAATGAGAAAACCTTCCTGAGGCTTTGGGAGTTTACATTACTTTATAGCATCGAATGTTCTCCACTTTGACAGAAAAGTTGCATTAAATCCTCCATCTAATGAAATCAATGTTGTATAAATAATATATTATTCCTCCAAAGAGCAAATAGGAATCAGATGCAAGCATCCCCATTATTTGTTGAATTTGCCTTTTTTCTTCCCATAACTTGAGTTTGAAGATGGAATTCATGCTCATCCCACATTTCATTAGGTGCTTAAATCTGAAACCATTTGTCTAAAGGCAATCAAAAGTACGACCAGATTTGTTGGGTTTTATTTTTAAGCAGGGCAGGATTTTTTCCCTTTGCTATAAAGCAGTCAGAGAGAAAACCCTGGAATTTGGTAAGGTCATAAAATAAATGAGATAAAGCAAAATATTAACAAAGTTGGCAGAATGTTCCTTTAAAAACATTCCCCTACACTTCCAGTTCCTCAAGACATCTTAACAAGGATGTAATTTCCCATTTGCTCTCAGTGAGCAAATCAAACAGGGTGATTTGTTATTCAGATGGGCACAAAGGATTTCTGAAACGCAAAAAGAAGGGCTCTAAAAGCACAAGTCATCAGTAATGACGACAGCCTGAACTGCCTTTCAAATATGAACAAAATGCAGCCATTTAGGGGCTCATACATCACGCTCTCCCAGACCCTCATTTATTTCCTAACTGTACAGGCTGCATGAAAATGGAACCAGAATCTGGCATCTACTGAGAACATCTTTATCAGGGAAGTGATTCCACACCACGGGAGAGCAGATCAGAATCCCCACCCTTGGAAGAACAACCAAGGCTTTCCAATCACCACTTTAGGTCCCTCCCCAAAAACATCTGTGTGCTGAAAAGAAACTCTTCTGAACTATAAACACAGTGAAAATATGACAAAAGTTCCACTCCTATTCCAAGAAAAATCAGATTTTCTTGATAAACATCTCCAGCAATTTGGGCTGCTGATGAGACAGCATTCAACTGGAACCCAAAATTTCAGCTTTAGCTGGTGAGATCTGCTGTTATATTTTTCTTCCAATGATCTGTACATTGGGAAATTGAGAGAGAGAACTAAATCCTGCTCATTCTTATCCCAACGAAGCACAGAAATAACCATCAGAGCTAATGAGGTTACTCAGCATTTTTCTTCTCCGAGCAGAAAACCCACAAAGAGCAGTTCTCTCAATCAGCTGTTTAATATTTCAGCTGTGCACAGGTATTATGGGTATTAGACACATATTCTTAAATCCACTTTATCTTCAAAATGTTCCTTTAAGTAAAGAGATGTGGAATTAGCACTTTACGTATAAAGAACTGACATCAGCATAGGCTCAAATGAATTTTCCAAGCTCATGGAAAAGACTTATTATGGAGCAAGACACTACAGCAAATCTCCTAAATTTCTGCCAAACATGACTCCAAGAGACCTTTTTCCTCTGCATCACAGCCAAGCAGAAAATATCCTCCCCAAAGCAAGGAGCACCTCCAAGGAGTGGACTGCATGAGGACCTGTTTGAAATTCCAGCCAAGTCTGCCTTCACCTCAGCTGGAGAGGAGCATATTTAACATCCTTCCAGTTCTGTTCCAATAGCAGACTGGGGGAAATAAATTAATTACCAATTTAGCCCAGAAAGCCAGGCAGTTACCTAAAGGCATGTAAATAACCACCTAATTAATGGGAATGAAGGTTCAGCATTGTAGAAATACTTCGTTTTAGCAAAGACTGAATGGCAGCATTGGCCCCAAGTGACCACAGAGAGAAAAGGCACAACTTTGTCCACAGCTCTCCTTCAAATCAAGTGAACTTCACCCTTCTTTCATCTCCAACACAGGTGGGAAGTTCTGCCATAAATCAGCCTGGGTCTCTGGAATTCATATCCCTGGGAACCAGCTCAGGCATGTCGTGTTGGGACTTAAATTATGCCTCCTAATATAATTTACTTAACATAGATATGAAAATCCCACTGGTGCTGGTTTGTCATCCTCCTTCCCCACACTGGTGGTCACCAAACACCTGGCAGGTCACTCAAGCCTGAGCTGCATCCAAGCTTTCCTCCACAAGAACTTCACAGACTGTTCCAGAAAATGACATTTTAGTGTTCCACTGTTGGACCTGCGTGTTCTAGAGGAGCATAAACCTACAAAGCAGCTGCTCTGCAAAAAAATCCCCACAGGCACAGCATTTCCTGGGGCAGTCCTTGAGCCAAAACCTGAGTGTGGGGAGGACATGCCAGGCTGACCCTCGCACAGTCACCCAGATGTGTCCTCAGAAACTGAATGTAAGAAAAAAAGTCACGTAAAACCTGAAGTCTGTAACACCAGGCTGCGTGTGATGAAAATTTCTGAATACACACACATATGCCTCCCTGAATTTATGATGCAATTAGCAGTGAGGGAGAAGGGCCCCTCACTGTACTTGTCCACAGAAAATGCCACCAAAAATCCATCTCACTGCTCTCCAACTCCTGCTTTTCTCACTGCCCCCAGAATTCCAAGGCAGGACTTCCACCTGCACATGTCACTGCAGCCCCAAGCAGTGCTCACTCCTTCCTGACAGACACAGGGAGAAAAGGCCAATCTGGGAAGGTAGGACACTCCATGAGAGAGAAATAAATTTATAACCTAAAACAACTACAATTAATTGTCTCTTTTCTCTTTGCACCCTCTCAGGTTGAAGCCCAATCCCTCTCTCCCCTCTCAAGCATATCTTCTACGCCAGATTTCATTATGCAACAGTCATGGTCAGCATTCTTAAAAGCTAAAATATTGACAAATGGGGTGATGAAGCATTTCCAATTTCTCAGTGTATTTACTTCTATGTGCTGTTACAGTAACATGAAGCATGATAATCACAAAACACTTCATTTTTCACAAACCCTGATTTAAAAAATCCCTGTATACACCAATGGTGTCAGCAGTTACACATGAATCTGGTCCACATCAGAAAGTACTTTTTAATTCCCTAAAAATCTCCACAAGATGCTGTACGGTTTATAAGTGGGGCATATGCATAATGCTGTGCAAGACTAATCAGCCTTGAGACAACAGCTTCTAAATATCATTATGGAGAAGACAAGAATGATGTTTAACTGCTGCTTCTGTCAGACAGATTCTCCTTTCAAGTCACTCAGGATATCAAGTTATAGTATTTCCTTCCAGTAATCATGGGCTGGATAAACTCACATTTTCAGCTTGTGAAAAAGCAACAGCATCTCCTACCACTGATCTGTTGGCTCTGAGGAAGTAGCCTGTGTTATTTCAGACGTGCTCACCCTACCATGTAATTTTACCCACGTCTGTATCCAGGCTGCAGCCAAAAACCACATTTATTTTCGTAGAGAGAAATCCACAGAGGACCTGGAATACAGCAAGTCAGCACTACTGGAAAGAAGAATAGAAAGAAAAAAACCAACAGCATGGTGGTTGCTGTTGCATCAATAAGCAGGTCGATATTGAAGTTCTTTGGAAAAAAAAATGTATCTGATAAAATAACATGAGAAATGCTGAATGTGATCAAAGCGGTGTCACAGCCCCTAGCCCAGGGCAGAGCAGCGGGTGATGTGGAGGGCACACCCCCGGCACCCTCGTTCAGGGATCAGCAGCAGGGATAAGGAGCAGAGGGAAGAGGGCAGCGGCAGTACCTGCACAGGTAGCAGGCAGGGAGAGCAGCGGAGCTGCCCTCTGCTGACTGCCTGGTTTGCTGAACACTGCTCTGATCCGGTCCTGCACAGCCACACCGCGATTTAACCGGCCGGGCTCTCCCCGCGGAGCCCTGGGTGACACGGAGCTCTCCGGAGCCACACGGGTCTCCTGGCCGGCCCCAGCCCCAGCCCGGGCCGGCAGCCCCGCGGTGCCCCGGCCGCTGCGGCAGCACCGTGCTGCAACGGGCTGCTCCAGCTAATTAACTCCAACATACACCCAGGACTCGAGCCAGTGCTTCTGCTGCATCGTGTCCGTGGATGCCCGGGCTCATCCAGCGCCCAGCTCGGCTGGCTCTGCCTGCTGTGGCGCGGGGGTCGTGCTGGAACACTTTAGGCTGGTCCAGTCGCTCTCATCTGCCATGTCAAATCAGGGGTCGCTTAGGTAACCCCCAAAATCAATAACCCTCATCGACATCCATGGTGAAGGCAGTGCTGTGATAGTGGGACCTGCTGGCACCTGGTCTAGGAGACTTTCCTGCCCAAAAAGTATTTACTGAACAGCAAAACTCCTGGGAACCTCCGAATGAAACACGGACCCGACGCTTCCCAACCCGGACCAATTCTCATGCCTCTCAGGGCATTTTCTGTCTAGCACTCAGGTAAAATACACACGACCTATTTAACTTCCAACTTTTTTTCGTTTTTTTTTTTTTTTTTTTTTTTTCAGTATCCATGCCATGCCTCTCGTATCTTCCCCTCCAAGTTCTGTCTTCCTCCTCTATATATTCCA